GCGCCGAACATACGGGGTAAACACCTGCCGCGGCGTGGGGCAGGGACGCACCCGGCCGGCCCACCCACACGCACACGCCCTGCCTCGCGCACACGTGGGAGTGCATGTGTGAGCACCTGGCAGCACAGGCCTGTTGGGACATGCACACATGCCAGGCCTCTGCACGGGCCCCTGGAAGAAGCACATGCATATGCTCACACCTGGGCCTGGCCTGGCCTGTGCCTGGGACACACACACACACACACACACACACACACACATATATGCATACCTACATACAGGCGTGCATACACACAGGTGTGCACACACACACATACACACACGTGCATACATGTACACACAGACACATGCGTGTGCATGCACACACACTGATACCCATGCTCACACCTCTGTAGCTGTCCCCCCAATCCCTCCCTGCCCTGCGCTGCCCTCCGGCCCTGCCTCTCCAGTCAGGCAGCTACTGGCAGGCTGGGTGGCCTAGTGGTTTGAGGCCTGGGTGCCCAAACTCCTGGGTTCTCTCCTATCTCAGGCTCTCCCTGCCCCAGGAACAGGTTTGGGGGTGGGGAAGGGCACACCCAGCAGGGGGGCAGCTGCAGCACTTGGGGGTCATCTACAGCCTGGGACTCCCAGGTTCTGGCTCTGGCTCTGCCACTGCTTCACTGCAGGGCCTTGGGTGAGTCCCTTCACCCAGTGCCTCTGTGGGGCCTGAAACCCCCAAATGCAGGAGCCTGCCCATCGCTGGGCACCCTGGGATCGATCCTGAGAGCAGCTCAGAGCTGCTCCCCCGCTACCCTTCCCCCCCAACCCATGGCCCGTGCTGTGAGCAAGCTGTGGAGGGGGGTGTGGGGCAGGTGGTCATGGTGGGGGGCTCCCTTCCCAGAGCTCCCATCCCCCTCCCGATGCTGGAGGTGGGGCCAGGCCTGCCGCGCACGCAGGTAGGAAGCGTCTGGTGTCTCGGCGGCTTCCTGTGCTTGGGTGACGTGGCACCGCGGGCGCTGGGGAGTGGGCCTGGCTCTTGGTATCACTCAGTGCCAGGGCTGGGGCGTGGGCAGGACTGCCAGCTTGGGCCCGCAGCCAGAGCACCAGGCAGCCTGCTCCCTGCTGGGGACGGCACCTCCACACGCATGCACACACGCAGGAGCACGCATGACACGTGTATGCATCCACATACACATGTACACAGACCCAACCAACATGTGTGCATGCAAACACATGCACATGTATTCAAACACACGTGCACACCCATACACGCACAGGGATGTATACACACACGTGCACGCACACACAAATACACACATGTACATGTGTGCACATATGCATGCATCCATACAAATATGCATGCACATACACACGTGCACACACATGCATCCACATACATGTGCACGCCCACATGCGTGTGCACACACTTGCATGCATGCGCATATTCGTGCACACACACAAATACATGTACACACACAGGCATGCCTCATCCCTGCCCGTGAACAAGGGGCCCTGCCAGGCGTTCGGCCCTGACAGCACTGCGAAGTGGCCCAATGGTCCCTTCCATTTGGTTTGGGGGGCTCAGCCTTGCGGGGTGTGTGCGTGTGTGTTGGGGGAGGGTCACAGCATCCAGGCAAGGGCTCTGGGGAAGCTGGGATTTGCTGGGCTTCAGGGCTCCCATCTTGATTGTAGGCTCAGAGGCTCAAGCCTAGCCTGGGTGTGATGTGCAGCCCCACCCCGGTAGGTGGCACCAGGTTGCCACATCCTCATCCACTGTGCAATGCACACCCTTCCCCAGAGGCTAGTGCAAGAGCAAGGTGGGGGCTCAGTCCCTGAGGAGAGCCAGGGCCTGGATCCCCTGGACACAGCCAAGAGCACTGCCTCTCTACAAGCCGATGACCACCGCTGTCCCAGGACTGGTACATGTGATGCAACTGAAATCAGTGTCCCTCCACCCCAAACCCTCCAGAAGGGAAGCAATGGCACAGCAGACAGCTGGTGGGGCCAAGGGCTGAGCGAGGCTTTATTGGCGCGGGTGCTAGGGGCTGAAGGGGTAGGAGGAGGCGAGGTAGTGCTGGCCGGGCCCGTACTCCGTGTTGGCCCACGAGTAGGTCTGGATCTGTGCCCGCTTCCCCGCGAGGCTGAGGGTGCACCTGGAGGGAGCCAGGCATGAGGCTGGAGCAGGCCCTGTCACCGCCCCCCCCGCCCACCAAGGAGGTGGAAGAGGGGACCTGAGGGGGTCTCAGAGGCAGTGACCCCCCGGCTTGGGGCTTTCTGTGCTTCTCTCAAAGTTGGGACTTGGCACTGGTGAGAACCCAGGAGTCCTGGCTCCCAGCTCTAGCCACTGGACCCCACTCCTTCCCAGCACCCAGGGGAGAACCCGGGCATCCTAGCTGCCAGCCCTGTGCTTTAATCACTAGACTCAGTTTCCTCCTGGAGCTGAGATGAGAACCCAAGAGCCTTGACACCCGATGGCCCCTGCTGCAAGGATCAGGGCAAATGGCACTGGCCACAACCCCCAGCCCCAGCTCCCCTCCCTGGACACTCACAGCCGGTCGGGTTCCAGCGGTACTGGATGGCCAGGATGTCAGGGTAGGTGGTCCACTGCAAGCACACAGGGGCTTGGAGGGGAAGCGGCTGGGGCAGGTGCCCCCCCCCACCCCCAAGAACCCAGCCTGAGAGGGAGCCCCCGCTGCCTGCTAGGATGGGGGAAATCAGACTAGACTGGGTGTTACTGGACTGGTTATACTGGGATGGGAAAGATTCTACTGGGCTAGGAGTTACCCCCAGCACACTCACAGGCCCATCGTAGCTGTAGCTCAGGTAGTTGATCTGCCCAGTCTTCTCCAGCTCGTAGTAATGGACCCAGTTGTGGAAGCCCGAGACTTTCCCCTTCTTGATCTCACCTTGGGGCAGGAAGAGGCTGGACTCCAAGCAACCTGGCAGGGATAGGAAAGAGACCCCCAACCCCCATCCTGAGGGGCCGCATACCATGGAAGACATGCTCGAAGCCAGAGGAGTCGGTTGCCTTCCCGCTGGAGCGCGAGTACATCCCGAACCACATCGTCTTCAGGTCCTCCTGGAACTTGGCCTCCGAAGCATACAGGCCTGGTTGGGGCGTGGTGGACATCAGGGCCTGGGCTGTGTGTGCAACTCCTTTCCCTCTGCACCCTGCTCTGAGTGTGCCAACATCCCCTTGCACGCCTGCCCAGTTGTGCATTCACCAGGGGCAAAGCCCATCCTGTGCCTGGAGCTGCCAAGATGTGCTGTGCCAGGTGCCAGCTGAGGGCACGCTTGGTATTTTGCCTGTGAACAGCTGGGCACTGGGCCCGAGGCGTGAAGGGAACTGTCGGGGGGGATGTGTCCAGGTGAGTACCCATGACAGTGCCCCTCACCTCTGGCGAGGAAGAAGCGGGTGAGGGTGGCCAGCACAGGGGTGGCAAAGATCTCTGCTAGGAAGGCCTCCTGCTCTTCAGCCTCAGTTGCCGTCACCACCTCCTTCTGCCCTGTCTGGCGGTCGTAGTTGTCCAGCAGGGCCCGGAGCCGGGCAAAGGTGGGCCTGGTAAACAGCGTGCCCTCGTCCACGTAGCGGAAAAGCCTGGCGATGCCACAGGAGATGGGGCTGAGACCCAGGGCTGGGCCAGAGCGGTTGGGGCTTGGAGTAGGGGGTGCGGTTTATCTGGGTCGCAGCTCTAAACCCAGGTCTGTCGGTGCCCTCTCGCTGGGGCTACCTGGTCCTTGGGGCTGGGGGGGCTCTATGAAAGGGATGCCATTGGGGTGCAGAGAAGCCAGAGCAAGGCTGGGCACCAATCCCACCCGGAAAAACCGCAGAAGCAAGGTCCATATGCCCTCCTGCTTCTGTGCCAAGCCCTGGCACAACCCCGCCCTCCCACCGCCATTGCCTGTGTATCCTCCACGTTACTCCTCTCCCTCTGCACGGGGCAGTGGCCGGCAGGGTCTTCCCAACTCCAGGGGCTCTTGCCCCTGCTAGGAAAGACAATGGATCAGCTCAGGGCAGCCTCTGGATTCCCTCCCCCTTTCCCGCACTCACTTGTGGCTGGCATAGTCGTGCCCGGTGCTGGTCTCCGAGGCGGGCACCTTGTGCTGCAGGTCAAGGATGATCTGGCGGCCAGTGGCCCGGTTCACATCGGCGGCATAGAGCTCCTCAGAGATGTGCTGAAGCTCCTGGTCCGAGATGGAGGGCCCGCTGTTTCTCCCTGGAAGGAGGCCAGGGGGCTAGGCCAGGACTGCAGGCAGCAAGGGCAGACCCTGCCCTGCTGCCCGCCCAGCTCACATGGCTAACGGGCCTCTCTTTGGAGACACCAGTTAGAGACTAATTAGCTACTGTTCCTCATTGCTCAACCCAGGCATTGCCCGCTGAGCTATCCCCCATGCCTGGCTGGGTCAAGAGACGGCTCCCCATGGTTCCTGTCACCTTCACAGGGCACTGAACATCACCTGGGATCCCCTTCGGGGTCAGGAACCCGGACTCCTGGGTTCTTGGTGCTCTTCTGCCACTCGGCTGTGGGGCTTCCCTAGGGGTCTCCGATGGGGGGGGAAGATCCTGACCCCCAGCATGGCCTTGCCCCCAACTTCACCCCACAGTGCCCCCAGACACTTGGGGGAGAGGCTATGAGATCAACATGGATGCTAGGAGGAAGATGGGGGGGGCACCAGCAGATGATCCCGACTGGCTCACAGGCTATTGGCGCAGAACCCAAGAGTTGCTGCCAGATCTCTGCACAGCAAGGAAACGAGGGAGCGAAAGAACAGCTTGAACCCGGCGCCGGGAGGAAGGAGCCAGACCTCAGCTGCGCTTGGAAGAACCTGCACCAACTCCCTCATCTCGACTGCAGCGTCTGGCTACAGGGACCAGGGGTGAGATCCATGATAAATTAAGTGTTGAGGTCTCTTCAGAAACCCTGGCCCGTGTGTGAGGTGGTCTTTTCCTGCCTTGGCAAGAGGCAACTTGTTCTGGACACTTGTCTGTGGTTGTCACAGACCCCCGGGGCCGGAGGGGTCCTTGGGGGGCATCTGGGCTTCCCACGCTTGCTTCCAGAGTCACCCAGTCTCCAGGCAAAAGCTTCCAAGTCCTATAAGCTGCTCTGCTAGTTCAGGGGCTATAATGACCCCTGCGTGGGCAGCTTGCAGGAAAATGATGCCCTCGTTAATCAGCGGATCTTAATAAGTGGCTTTGCTCTGGTCTGAACAGGGCTGAGTTTTCCCCGGACCAAACCAGAGCTCTGGACTTGCTCCAAAGCTACTCCGGTTCTTTTGCCAGGCTGGAAGATGGGAGAGGAACCCCACCTCCCCAGTCCCATCTTTGTTATCACCACTTAACAATACCCATCGGGGCTTCAAACAGGCATATACGGATGCATCTGTCCTTACCCAGGAAGGTGAAGTGAGCCCCATGCCCGAAACAGGGCAGGAGACAGAGCAGAGCCAGCAGCGCCTTCATCATGGCCAGTGTGTGGCCTCCAGGGCAGCCCTGGGTTTATATGGGTTTGTCATATCGCGTAGATAACTCAGGAGAAATATTCACACATGGGATAATTCACAGGTGGCGCCGCTGTCCATGGAAGGCGATAAAGCCAGGTGCAGCTGCTGGGGTGCCTGGGGCGGGGAGGTAGGAGAGGAGGATTTGGAAAGCCCAAGGGATTGGATGGGTGGGTGCTAAGATACAAGAAGTCTCTGCTAGGGGTCAGGAGAAGGGAGTCCAGGGAGGTGTCCAGCAGCTGGGGATAGAAAATGGAGCCTCCTCCCTTCTCTAATGATGACCTCCCAGTCCAGCGCACACTGGGATCACAACCCACCACCACGGCAGGCTGGGGAGACAGCTCCGGGGTCCCCGATGCAGCCGGGAAGGGCCCCATTGAGCTGTCTTTTTTGCCCTGGAAATGACAAAGGCAATCCCCTCTCCATGGCAAAGTGAGACTCATTGCTGTGGGGATCTCAGGCCTGCTGGGGAAAGGAGCATCTTTATCCCGGAGCTGGCCCCAGAGCCTGATGTCGGAGCTGGATCCCAATGTACCCACTGCCAGCAGGGTCCTGCCAATGCGGCTCCGCGCCGGGATTAGCCCTGAGAGCGATTAATCACGGCAAACTGGCAGGCGGAGGCGGGAGACACACGTCTGCGAGCACTTCCCGGGGGTGGCTTCCGGGACACGCCGTGCGGGTGTCGCGCTGCCAGTCTCCTGAGCCAGGATGGAGCTGGGCTGGCGAGTTGGCCCTCTTCTCCACCCCCGGTTCCTGGGGGCTGCCTTTGTGCCCAGCTTCATTGCGAGCTGGGGGTTCGAGTTCAAAGGGGAAAGTTTGTGGGGGGCCCTCTGTCATATGCCCCCTTGGAAACAGGCATCAATCTGGGGTCTGCTTCTCCCATCTCTGAATCAAGCCCAGACCAGCTAGGGCATGGGACCACAGATATTGAGATGCTCTGCTGACCCAACAGCTGGCTGCAGGAAGTTCCACCAGTTAATTACCTATTAATTACCCCAACCCCCTGGCTTGGGACCAGAGCAAGGGCAGGGGGACCTCTCTTAGGTGGCATTTGACGCCCAACCCGTCATTCCCTGAGCAAATGATCCTTCCCTCTACTTGGCAGCAGTGAAGGTCCAAACTTATCTCCCCAGCTTGGATTAATATTTAAGTGCCCATGTGCCACTAGCTTGAGACTTTCCCACCAAGGGCTCTGGGTTCATAGCAGGACCCACCCCTCTCTCCCTCACCCTGCCCTTCCTCGTGTCTCCAGCCCTGCTGGAGATTTTGCTGGATCTCCTTTGTCATGGGGCCGCAGGCCGGCATTTTTACCCCAGGGCTTGGGGTTTACAGGGCTGTGCTGACACTGCCAGTGCCTGGAAACCTGTCAGGCTGCAGCGCTGCCCTCGGGAAACAGGACAAAGTCCCGTCGGTAGCATCAGGGACCCCCATTTTGTGCTTCACCCCAGGAGACTGACACTGCACAGGGTGCCCGAGCCAGGAGGACGGAGCCTGGAAGAGATCAGTAATTCTGGGAGTCTCTCCTTTCATCTTCCTTGCTCGGCATTTCCTTGGCCTGACCGCACACGAGTGCTGGTGACAATAAGCCAGCAGGGGCCTAAGTCCCTTCCTCGGCCCTGCCCTGGCACTGCCATCCAACACCCCCCCCAGGCAGCTGCTCTGCTCCCGTCAGCCGCGGCTTCCCCTTCGCTGTCAGTGCTCTTTCTCTCCATCAGGGAAGGCCTGTCGTCCCCCCCCCGTGGCGCTGGCGACAGATTCTCTCCTCCCGGGGTGCCAAGGAGCCAAATGCCAGCGTTGGCAGCCCTCAGACATATCCCGGGCTGGTCAAAGCCCTGGCTCCGGCAGCAGGTGCTTACGTGAGAATTTCAGCTTCCTCTTTTTTCTTTCTGAGTCAGTTTACAGCCCTTGCGGCGGCAAAGAAACTTCCCGGCTGCAGCTGGAGAGAACTCGAAAGACTCAAAACCCGACGGTTTCTGCACAACCTGGAAACACTCATTACTTTGAAGACATTGCATGGGTGGGGAATTTTTTTCTTGGTTACCTGAGGGCTTTTGAGCATTTGGGGTTAGCCAGGCTGCTGGGAGACAGACAGAGAGGGGGTGTACAAAGATGGGGAGGACGGAAGGAAATCTGGAAGCTCCCCCGAGCCCTTCACGCCACCGTCTCTGAACAAACCTTAGCTGTGCCATAAGGACCCTCCGGTGTCTCCTCCTCGCCGTCTGCTCGGGATCCCTTCCTTCCTCCTGCCTGGCGCCTCCTGAAGCTGCGGGGTGCGGGGAGACGCAACCCCGGTCCCCAAGCGGGGCAGGAGCGAGGGGCGGCAGAGAGAACAAGGGACGGGGTCTAGGTCTTGGCACTAGGGAGGAGACGAGCCT